AGCTCTCCTTTCTCTTAAAGACACACATAAGGGTGACAGATGTCAAAGATGGCCAACAATACAATCAAGTCCTTTTGCTCCAATTGCCACTGACAGGCCGGTCACCACATGCAGAGGTGTTTCCACTCAGTTAATTACTGTTAGGCTCTGCCCTCCCTTCTCACAGGGAGGGCTCTCAACGCCAGGCTCAGACCTCTACACACAGAGTCAAGCATCTCTTAGTGAGCCAAAATCTTCCATTTATTTTTGACCCACCTTTCAACCCACTACATTACCTTTCTGCCTACTAGACATTTAGATCTTCCTTTCTGGCATGCTGCCACTTATGAGCTTTTGATGTGATATGGGCCTGCATATCCCCATCATCTTCACAGATATCCCAGGACATGAAGGAGTGTTAGATGGGATGCCCAGAAGATATAGTCTATAAATATTAAATTACATTTTAACAGGGGTGCTATCCCAGGGTCTCAAATTCTGGCAAAAGAGCAAGATCTACCTTGCTCACTGAGCTATTACCACCAGACCTATGCCATTCATTCATTCATTCACATTTTTTTTTAAATCAGCACAACTCTCTTGATCGTAAGCCTCTATGATTATGGTGCCATAGACTTTTGGGGCCCAGGATAGCTGACTCTGATTGGCTAGTGATCCCCATGACCAACCTATAACCTCTCATCACATAACTCGGCAAATCATAGCAACAAACCGAACAGGAAGGATGCTTCTCCCTCTTGGAAAATAAAAAAACAAAAAACCCCAAGGCCATCTAATCCCACACCCAAACCTGACTCTCCCCCTCCTTCAAAGGCCGGCTGCTCCTCACCTGAGGCAGCGCGGCGTTGATCTGCCGCTGGAGCACGTCCCTCTCGTGCAGCGCCCCCTGCAGCTTGGTTTGAGACTGAATGAGAGTCTCCTGAGTCTCCCTGAGGGACTCCAGCAGCTTGTCCCTCTCGTCCAGCATGTTGACCATGAGTTGTTCGAAGTTGGCCTCCTGGTCCGAGCCGTTCGGGACGCCGCCGGTGCCTCTCGGAGGACCAGCCGAGTCTCCTTCGCTGATGGTCGGCATCACCTCACACATCATCTTTCCTGCTCTGTGGTCTGGGCAACGCTATAGGACAGTGTCGCTGTCGGGATTAAGAAGGAATATGTGTATGCGTGGGGGTTATAACCCTGATAAACAGACTTACAGTAACTGATAAATAGGGCCCATTAACGCCCCGTAGCAACGCACATTCAAGGCAATCGCAGTTACGCACCTTACTCCCAGCACGCTGGAGCTCTATTTTTCATGCATCAAACGTGCGATCTTACGCTTTATATCGCCATACCTAATCAGAGTGACTGAAACGATGAGACGACCGCTGACGTTTCATCCATATTAACCGGCGTTTTTTCACCCAGTGAGCCGATCCGCCCTGCCCGGCGCGCCATGCACTCACATGTACAAATCCCGGCGTGATGTGATTGACAGCTCAGCTCAGAGATAGACGGGTATGTTTAGAGGGGTGGTGCCCGCGAGCGCGACGGAGATCATAGTAGGTACACTGACAGGGAAATTTTAAAAAGCAGCAGAAAATATCGGGGAGGAGATCGGCGTCCTTATTCCCGTGGATAGTGAGAGCAACTCTTATCTGCATCCGCCTTCTCCGCTTCCATCTCTTCACACCGCCGCCGAACCGATGTTCACTCCTCCTCCTCCCAGTCCCTCTGTCACAGAAACACACACTCGCTGGCGCGCGCCCCCACAAACCCACGCGCACACATACACACACTGCAGTTGTCACCACCAGGCTATAGAGCTTTGGGAATACTGGGACCTAGTCCCCAGGATTACCCTATAAACGACTGCGCCATGTGTGCATAATACAGGAGTGAAGTGATCATTTATGTCCCCTCGAATTAACATTCTACATTTAGACTATACTGCAAGTTATGGCTCAGAATTCAGCCTAATTGCTGAAGTGTAATTAACTTCTCACATCAGCACCACTAAGCACGTTGCTGACCTGACAGCTCCTGGGACTCGATGCCCATTCTAGTGGCATCAATTCAACCAAGCTGAACACAGTGTATCTAGTGTGGAGCACACCCTGGAGGACTTGAAATGAACCCGAAGATTGCAAGCGTTAGGCAAATTGGAGATGTAAACTTGAAACAGAAATCACCGTGGGCATAGCATTTTGGCCAGTTTGTCATTTTTGATGTGCAATGTGCAACCATTGATCTATGTCAACTGCACACTGTGTCAGAGATCAAGAGACTTTTAATGTTTATTTCTCGCGACTTTTTATGAGTCATTGTGGGTTTGATGTATTGCTTTGAGATTTCTTTTATAAGTATATCATTCCAGACACATAAACAAGCACCAATTTTAAAAAAAATATATAAAAAACACTCATCTTGATCTGTGTTCAAGTAGCAGTGGCAATGCTATTATAAATATCTTTAAAAACCGGAACTATATACAGTATTTCCAGGTTCTCCAGTGCAGCTCTCCATAACAGTCCCAGTTTCTCTTGGGAGTTTCTCAGGTTCTGAGATGCAACCCTCCACAGCAATCCCAATTTCAGTTGTGCAGCCCTCCACAATAGTCCCAGTTTCTGCAGTGCAGCTCTTCACAACAGTCCCAGTTTCTCAGGTGGCCCTTTAGGAAAATGAATTGTTGATTTAGATTGTTGTTTGAAGGCATTCTGTGTGTTGCAGTTTTGTGATTCTTACTTTTAGTGGTTCTCTGTGGTTCTCTCAAAACTTGCAAATGCATTAAAAGAATATGTAGCAACATTTTCTCATGTAACACACTAGAGCTCTCCCACAAAACTAAGCCACTGCATTTCTGAAAATCAACTGTAATCGCTGTTATCATTTGAAAAAACAAACAAACTGTGAAACATGGTGAAAAAGCGATTTATATAAAAATGATGAGCAAAGAGAAGACAGTTGTGACTGATTATACCATGATCAGATCTGTAACGATATGAGCAGATGGGCCTTTGCCGCCAGTAAAAGCAAAACTGGATGTCATTGAGATATCGCATGTGAGAATGTATAGATTCTTCCTGAAAGACAGAGAAAAATTAATTGAAGCAGGAGATTTTTGAATGAGATGTGTGACAACATCTGAATGATATGTCACAGCTCATGCCAACCAGATGTTGTAAGTTTAATAACCCCACAACCACATACTTCATGTTTAGCTTTCATAGCCCTGAAAAGGGTGCTAATGTAATGTCAGGCACGCTCTATATGTATTAATGTTGGGTTGCTAAATAATAATTTTCAGTCTAAATAATATCACAACTGCAACTGTCCAAGCTTTTGAGTTTTTAGAAGCAGTGTTGGTTATTTAACACCACCACCTAGTGGTAGAACAGATTATCTGCAGCAGTGCTTCAAACCAACATTTACGATGCTGACCTTGATGCGTTCTTTTCAACAGAAGCATGTTTAGTTTAAGTGAATGAAACTTTTTTTGAATTCGGTCTTTATTCCTCTCTCACAGAAAATTCAGCATGCTGCCTTGAGTGGCTGGCAATTTAAACTCCATGGTCAGAAGTTACTTTTGATTATGTATTTTAATAGTATTTTAAAGGTAATGTTTTTTTCTGTATTTATACAGTCTTTGTTTTAGTTCTAAATTGTTTTTTGAATGGTAGGTTATAATTATAATTATTATTGTGGTTATTATCAATATTACTGTTAATAATAATAATAATAATAATAATAATAATAAGAAGAAGAAGAAGAAGAAGAAGAAGAAGAAGAAGAAGAAGAAAAGAAGAATTTATTAATCAATTAGTTTATTTTTTTCATTACATTTCTCACTATCTACAAACATGTTATTTGGGGTGGCCATTTCAAATACTATTGTGTATTTACTAGGAACTATTTAACTCATGCTCAAAGACCACACATCCCACTCAACTCCCAAATGACAAGGAGTACTTGTGGTACACATTGTGTCATGCTAGCTTTACTTCATTATTATTAATTTATTAATTTATTTAAGTTTAGTCCAAGTTTTGAGCAATATTACTGTACGGATAAATGAGATTTCCCCAATCTTAATCATGAAGCAAGTGGTTGGCACTGTTGCTTTAAAGAAAGAGGGTGACATTCTTGGTTGTCTAGGCTTTTCTGTGTGAGATTTGCAGTTCTTTGTGTGCAGATGACAATCTGGTAATCAGGGTGCACTTTAGAATTGATTTTATTATTGCTGTTGTTATCCCATGCTTTCTTGTTAAATAAAGATGCTGTGTTGCAAAAAAGAAATCTCTTTTGAAATGAAGAGAGGTCGTAATGTGTTTGACAGCACTGCAGCTATGGATCTGAGACCTCTAAGGGGTTGATAACAGCTCTGACTGCAGCGAAGAAGTATATCATTTTATTCTTATCTCCTCTGACTCTGAGTCTAACGTCTGAGGAGATGAGAGAGATGCTTTGATGTTACTTAGTTGTTAAAGGGTAATTTGCAATGGCCAGATATTTGAGGACAACCTCTGCTTTTTGATCTCTAAAATGCAGCAGGACTTTCTGTGGAAAAAAAATTGTCACAGTTTAACAACAGTGCTGCCTGGGAAAGTTTTGGTATGCTCAGGTTCTTTGTGACACTGAATACAGTACAGAATTCATAATGAACTCTTTCCCCTCTCCTAGGTCTGCGTGGCTCAGTGACGTCTTGGCAGCTTTAATGGTACATTAGCGGCAGAGTGACACAGTACCTCTTCTTTTATGTCATCAGTGTGATAACACTTCAGCCAGGCAGCACTCGCTGGAGAATAAAGCAATCAAAAACGTGTATAATCTGTCTGGTATCCATATTTACATGCAGTCATCCTCAAAAAGTAAAAACATATTTAATTCACCTTAAAGCTATTTTATAATAAAAAAAAAAACAATTAACAGGTTTTAAATGGCATACAAGCTGTAGTCCCGATAGACTGAAATCTTAACAAACGCCTACAGATGGCAGTAGTGCGCGGCAAGGAAAAGAGTGAAAACGACGGTACTCTCGCGTTATTTGCAACGTCACGTCAGTCCATGATGGCTGAAGATCCTGGCGGAACATTTTTCAATTTCTCTGTGATTTTTCTTTCTTTCTCTTTACCTCAGCTTGCCATAGAGACATGGCAGGACTCACAGCCACGTTAAGCGTCCACAGATATTTGGTATCGTCATGCCCAAGAAAGGGAACCGAAAACGGCTGAAATTTAAGGCCGGGGACGTTTGTTCGGAATCAGGTAGGATATGATTAGCCAGAAAGCTAGCCCGCCTTCTCACATTCTGCTGAAGTTTCTGTCATGTTCTCCCAACTTCATAAAGCCAAAAGGCATTCTGCGGTTTTACAGGTGACCAATGCGATTTGCAGTGTTTGTGTTATTCTTTTTAAGATCATTTTAAGTTCATTTGAATCACGTGACAGGTCAGCAGGGTGCGCCGGTGTTCCAGATTAACTGGCTTTGGTCGAACAGATGTGGCAGACTTGCGTTTCAGGAGCTGCTACCGACAAACTAGCAAAAAAAAAACCTCGCCAAATGTGTCATCTGTGACACTTGTGAGGTTATCTCAAACACACTCTGTCAGTCTTGATGCTGTTGAACAACAAAATGTTTAAAAATGTCGCGAGTTTACCTGGTGATATTCTCATGTTCGACACGATCGCGAAAACGGCAAACAATTAACACCACGCCGATGTTGTTCACATGCATTTCAAAGGTTTATTTGGATGACGCACAAACAGACACAATTGAAAGGAACAAATGCATTGTGCATGAAACTAATTCAAACGTGATGCAGATGTGTGTCACAAGTTGATCTGGCTGTAGGCTGGGGCACTTGGCCAGAGGTGGCGCTGGTTGATTCGAGTCCATGTTAGTGCACACAAAGTAAACTGCTCGCTTTAGTTGTGAAGCAAAAACGCTGAAATCGGAGAAATAAAACGTATGAGGGGGACGATAACGACGACTAGATTCTCCCGGTCGTCTACTCTTGCTGTCCGGTGAACAACATCGGCGTGGTGTTAATTGTTTGCTGTTTTCGCGATGAGATGGTGACATGAGAATATCACCAGGTAAACTCGCGACATTTTTAAACATTTTGTTGTTCAACAGCAACAAGACTGACGGAGTGTGTTTGAAATAACCTCACAAGTGTCACAGATGACACATTTGGGTTTTGTTTTTTGTTTGCTGGTTTGTCGGTAGCAGCTCCTGAAACGCAAGTCTGCCACACATCTGTTCGACCAAATCCAGTTAATCTGGAACACCGGTAAGCTTCACAACTGTGACACTGTGAAAAGTTAAGCTAACGATCTGCTGTTCTTTTCCTTAGTCACTGTAGCTGATTATGCTGATGCCGACCCAGCCGTTGTGAAGTCAGGGAGGGTTAAAAAGGCTGTTGTAAATGCGATTGAAAAAGAAGGTAACCTTTGATGACTGAAGTTATACTGTGGTTGATTCCTGTCCTGGTGCTTTACTTATAATCTTCTGTTTCAGTGAAATTACTCTGCGGCCTGGAAGCATCGCAGGGTGCTGTAGAGGAAGTCCTCTCCTCCGCAGTAAGCGTCAAAGCAGACGCTTTGGGCAGTAGCGACGAGCAGGACCCTGAAGAAGATGGAGAGAATGAAACTAAAGTGTCCCGCAAAAAGAAGAACAAGAGGAGAAAGGGTATCATTTCACTTTATCGTTAATGTTACACCATGACAGTTTACTAGCATTAAGAAAAAGTGAATTTTCCATTCAATAAAGATAAAAAACAAGTCTCACAACAGTCAACTCATTTTGGGGTAAGCTGTTACTCATTCATCTAGCAACTAGAAGGTCAGTGGTTTGATCCCTCCCACCTCCAAAGCTTATAGACAGATTCTTAGCAAGATGCTGAATCCTGACTTACTCTGGTGGATCCAATGGAGTTTGATGGGGTGTGAACATTAGGATAAGGATGCACAGACAAAAGCACTTGTACACATGAATGTCTGTAAATGAGGTTTGTAGTGTGAAGTGCTTTAAGTGCTTAGATTGAGTAGAAAAGGACTATATACCAGTCCGTTTACCATTACTGTTAATACCCAGTCTCAACAGCAGGTCGGGAACAGTTTTGCTCCACTTCAGAAAACACTGCAGTCAATCAAAAGCACACCGATTGAACAAACACCCTCTGAATTCCATACCCGATTAGTTTCATTGCAGCCAATGACAAACGTATGCATTCATACAAAAGCCTGTGCAGTCTGGCTGACTGGGGAGTGACCTGAGTGAAGTCAACTTGTATTGTAATGGGGAGGCAAGCAAATGCAGCCAAACAGACATGAAAAAAAGAAACTAGTCCTGCAGCAATGGATCACTTGTACTCTGCCTAGAAACAAATTCTTACTTACTTACAAATTCTCAATATTAAAGCTTTATTAGAGAGACATTTCAAAGCATAGCACTACAGTATTAGTATTAAAATACCTGGTACATTAATCTATCCTCACTGACCAGCAGCTGCTTCCACTCTCAAAGGGGCCCAGGTTTAAAATATTAAAAAAACTAGATATGCAAAAAAATTGCAAAAAAATATACTTAAAACACTATAAAGCAATACAGTTATTCTTGCACTCTAATATTCTGTGACGCCAACAGGGAGAGAGGTGTGCACTTTCCTCGCTCCACTGGTCTGATAGCAACTCACAAAACATCTGTTCCACCTATAATTGATTTTATGTACACAACACATCTAAGTAAGACGTGTGCCTTTTTTACTTCAATGCTAATGGCCACATTAAGTATATAAATATAATCACAAAAATTTGTGGACCATTGTGCAAAATGCATTTCGAAACTAGTATGTTTAACTTGGTACTAATTGTGTTTTCTTTGTTTTCTTCACAGAAAACAGTGAGAGCAGTGATGGTGTAGATTATCCGGTGGACATTTGGTTGGTGCTCTCCTCCTACATTCGGCCTGAGGATGTGTGCAGATTTGCTCTAATCTGTAGGAATGCCTGGACGGTCACTTGCACTGCAGCTTTTTGGACTAGGCTCTACAGGAGGTGAGGTGGTTTTGTGATCACTTGCGTACTGGCACTGATAAAAATATTGACACAGAGTAGTCGAGTGTTTGTGATTTCCACTGTTGAAGGCACAGTATACGTTTATGATCTGCTGCTTACTGGATTCATGCATTTGAGTGGTGCTATGTGATTCACTTACAGCAGTAGTTCATGTGGAATACAAGGAAAGTGTACAGTTTTCATGCTCCCACCTCTGAGATTTGTATATATTGCCAGCATAGGGGGAAATTATTAAATGTGTCATCCTACAGATAATAGTCCTTGTTAAAACATAGTAGCACATCGTTAATGTTGTGATAGAAGCAGTGAAAATGGTGTACTTAGTCCTAGTTAACATCACCTCGCATCATTCCTCCTTCTCTGCTCTCTCTTTTTAAAGACACTACAGGATTGATGTTGAGCTGCCACTTCGTCTCCAGCCTGTCTCTATTGAGAAGATGCGTTTCTTACGGGCTTGTGTGATTCGTTCCCTTTTCCATTTATATGAGCCGTTCACCTTGCGTGTGTCAAAGATTCCTCCACTGCCAGAATCCACACCCACTACCTTACTCAACTCCAAGGTAAAGCTCCTCAAAGACCTTTTTATTATAGTTGAGGTGGAGCTGTTTGATTTACCTGCAGACATATGCAAGCAGATGGATCTATTTGCGTATGACTGATATTTGTGTGTGACCTCTGCTTTGTAGTTGGATAGAAAAGAAATTCAGTGTTTATCACGACTATTATCAACACTGATATGATTTTAGACTTGAGGATGCAAGTTAGTACTAGACCAAACTTTCTATCACTTGAAGGAATTTCAGTGTGGCTTTACTGAAGACTCTGATCTCAGTTTTTCCACATGCAAAATGCATATTTCTCAGTTTGCTTAACGTCCTTTCCAAGAAATAATTACGAACATCTGCAAAGATGTTAGAATTTCATTGGGTAAATGTCTGCCTTTTTCCTTTTACAGTGTTTACTTTTCTGGGTCAAAAAGGTGTCGGGGACTCGGTCTGAAACGTTGTGGGAGTTCAACTTTAAATTTTTAAAGCAGGTAACATCATTTGCCATCATTTTCTAATACTATAATGTATTCTCTGGGAACTATTCGACTCATCTTTAAAAGATCACCCACCCACCTCTACTCACAAATGACAAGGCGTACTTGTGGTGCACCAGTGTCATGGCAGAGTTTGCACTGGAGCTCATTTTGGTTTAGTTTTCCGAACCTTTTCTCAGCTGTAGTAGTCATCAGCTTCACTTCTTTCTCCTGTTTGTGCATTGCTCCACACAATTTTCTTCTCCAAACTGGAAACCCGTAGTTCTATTTTTGTTGTTTAATGCTGGTTGGCAAACAACTTCTAGGTGCATTATTGCCACCATCTGGCTGTAGAGGTGCATTACATTCTGTGAAGCACTGGAAGGAGTAGGGCTGGGCGATATGACCCAAAATTCCTATCTCGATATTTTTTTAGCTGGATAGCGATATAAGATATATATCTCGATATTTTTTATTTTTTTTATTTATTTTTTTAGCCATAAGTTAAGAACAAAAAGAGTTCTTAGTCACACTGTGTCCCAGATGTCACACGGGCACTTTTATTTACATACAGCGTAGATATTACTCAAAAATAAATTATCAGCATTTATTAAATAATCATGGTCCATAAATAAAAGAAAACAATGTTGTTTTTGTGCATAACAAAAAGCTCACAATTGTGCAGTCAAAATGTAAACTAATAGACGCTGAGCATAATAACAAAGAGACAGATTTCACAGCTGCACCACGTCTCTGAACAGGTGCCATTTGTGGTCCTTATACACACACAGTACGTATCACTCCGCGAGGCTCCTCCTTGGTAGCCGTTATCCTCCGACAATCCATCAAGCGGTGCAGCTCCGTAGCTTAGCAAAGTCATATTAAAACATTTTTTGACAGAGCGCTGTGTACCACATAAAATCGGTTCGCGGTCAGTAAGCACAACCAGAATTCATACATAAGGCGCACTGTCGATTTTTGAGAAAAGGAAAGGATTTTAGGCCGTGCAGCCCCTCCGGGCTGCATGTCTTTAGCGCGGTTAGCTCGCTAACATGTTGACGCCGTCCAGCCCCACGCACGGTAACTCGCTAACGGAGATTTTCCGCTTTCATCTTGTCATTGCCTGCAGGTGAAGCTATGGGGGAGGGGGAGTTGTGTTCAGTGAAGGAGAGGCGAGGCCGAGTAACGTTGCATAGAGACAAAAGTGGACGAAAGAGAGGCAAACCTGCGGCTCCACAAGTATAATTATAACGTAACATAGACTATATCGATATAAACGATATTGTCACATCTTATATCTCGTATGAAAATATATCGATATTTTTAAAAAACTCGATATATCGCCCAGCCCTAGGAAGGAGTAATTTTAAGAGACGTAGACAATACAGAAACTTTTTTGTATAATTAAACTAATATTTTAATAATTGAAAATAAATCATAACCGTTCTTTTATATCCCCACATATATGTAGAGACTAAGATACAGCGGTTGAGTTTGATGATGTATCTTATTAGCCTCAGATAAAAGGAAACTGCTTGAAAAAGCTGTTTCTCCATCCATTTATGTTCACTGCTTAATGTAGACTGACTCATTCATCACTAGCAACATTTCTGACAAACACTCTGACTCTGGCTTATTGTGAGTTCTGCTTTCATGTTTTCGGTTTTAAATGTGTCTCTCTGGTGTCTTTGTCTCAGCAGGGAAACGGTAGGAATGGTTGTGCCAAGTCCTTGCATTTGCCTAGACAGTATGAAGATGTTCACATGAATCCAGACTCTGACTGCTATGTGCTTCAGGTCACCACCCTCAACTTCATCTTCACCCCAGTAGTCATGGGCATGACGCTGAGCCTGGCAAGTAACTCACCTTGTTTTTTTTGCCTGCCTTAATGTTCCTTTGAGTACTGGTGTGTGTTATTCTGCAGCTGATCTTTACAAGGTAGCAGTGTCAAGTGCTGCCTATAAAGTTTTTAAATGTGTATATAAAAAGAGTTTCAATCAGTGAAAGCAACTGTCTCATGGCACACACAACCAATCAGTAGGTTGTTGTGGTAACTCTTGTTTGAATTGATTGATGCTTTAAAATAAATGTAATACTCCTCACTAGTATATTATTTTATTAGACAATTGACATTAAATAGCATTAAGATTAAAGAACAAAGATCTGGATGAAGATTGCAACTACTAATTCAGCTGATGTGACCCATTAGTATGCTTTACCAGTTAATTATTTTTACTGTGTTAAACTGCTTGAAATAAGTTGAAGTTATAAAAGGTAATGTGATCAAAATGCAGTTCGGTGTCAGTGATCAATCACACAGGAAGGCTTCAGAGAGCTCTTATGTACTGTTCTGTTGAGTTTTACTAAACACCAGCTTTAGTCTTAACGTCATTCATTGACATACTTGGAAATACAAAATTTTAACCCTGTGTGTTGTTGATAATATAAGACATTTTTACTTTTCTTTTTCCAAAAATCTTCTGTTAAATAAAGTGACTGTATGTTTCCTCACATGACAAAGGGTTGATTCTTCTTCTGAGCTACAGACTAGAAACTCATGGACTTTTCCTCTTGTTTTGCCTCCTAGTTCACAATAAATGTAAGCACAGACATGCGCCACCACCGCGTTCGGCTTGTGTTACAAGACTCGCCACTCCAACGGGGGAAGAAAAAAGTGGATCAAGGTGGGACCCAGGTGGTGTTGGATCCTGTACACAGTGTGAAGCTCATGGACTGGTGGCATCCACAGTACCCCTCCTTAATCTACTCATGAGTCTCTCTTCTCAGCCCCTACTACAGCAGGCATTGCTGTAGTAGGGGACCTCATTATTATCTCGCTACACTCATAAAAGACGATACTTGATGATCTGTATATCATGTTCAGTGAAGGTTTTTGGCAAATACACATTTTGATTGTTAGATGTTTAGTAAAAACCAACACTGAATTGAAGTGTGACGGTCTGGTCATAGACACATGGGAGAGGGGACCCTGTAATATAATTGTTGCAATTTTTCAGACTACATTGCTGCATGTTGAATGTACATGTATAACACATTTTCTACTCTGGATTAAAAAAAAAATCAGAAAGCTCAAAGGGATTAAAAGGGTGGGAAGATTGTACTTTGTTAGATATTTGATTTTATAGTCGCTTGACAATTCTTAAAATACTTTGGCATGTTACTGCAACAACCTTTCGATTGATTTTAGTTTGAAGCGTCCTCACTTAGTATTATGTGAAAAAGATTGAATCAGCTCTGCACTGAAGGGGCCAAAGAGATGATTTACCTCAGACATCATCTGCTGATGCAGGTAGTGTTTTGTTTTTGCTTTTCTTGGTTAATAAGATCTTGATTGCCTTGCTGACTCTGTGAGCTGTGTTCTGTACTGCCACCCTTGCAGTGTTTCTTCACCCTCAACTTTGAACGTGTTCAGTGTCTTCATGTGTGTTGAATGTGTGTACAGTTTTACCAGTCACATGATGATCGTGGGGGGGCTACCACTCATACCGATTTATCCATCCATGTGTTTGACAGAGTCACAGTAGACTTTTTTTTTGTCCCCCCCTCAGCAGACAGTTTGACTTTGGGAACAGTTTGTGAAAGCACAGGTGGAGTTATTGATGATGTAATTTTGCTATGTTTCCCAGTAAGCTATTACAGCATGTAAAAGAGTAAGACCTCCCCCAGGTGGACCATAACAATCATTCATCAACCTGTGCTTAACTTGCTGTGACAAATTTAAAAAGTCTGTTTAACCTGAACTTATTTGCACATCTGTTGTGGGGTAAGAAGTCATTAGATTTAACCATATGCAGTTGCCATAATGACTTTTTGGTGGCATTACCCAGTAGCAGAGGACGGCTGGTTTTTCTGGTTGGCAGCTGCTGATTGCTTTCGAGTCGGGGACTAGTTTTAACAACTGAGTTTCATTGATAAATCACTGTAGTGAAATAAAAACTGAAACTGCCCTATCAGAGTTCTCTGGGTTGCCTTTGAAATGTTGAGCAATGTATTATTTATTTATTTTTTTATTTCCCTCTTACAGTCATAGTAGGTATTAACAAAGACTTTATAAGGTACTATTTTACCAGTATAAAACCAGTCACCGATGATCCACATAACTGAGATGAGAATGTTCGGCTCCAACGTGCACCAGATAATCCTCCTTCACATCTCATGTGTGAAGGTTTTCTCATGCTGCTTCTAGAATTAAAGTAAAAGTTTGTTCTGTATTGAGAAATATGACACTGGGATCCATTCAAAGTAAATATACTGCTCAAAAAACAAAACAAACATCAGATCTCAGTGGGGGGAAAATGCGGATCTTTTTACTGATATTTGTGATATCTGGAAATGTGTCGGGAACAAAAAGATGCCACATTGAGATTAAAACGATCAACCTACAGAGGGCTGAATTCAAAGTCTCCCTGAAAATCAAAGTGATTAAATGATGCAGCATGCAGTCCACTTTGCTGAAATGTAATTGCAGCCACTCAAAACAGTACTCGGTCGTTTGTATAGTCTCCATGACCTTGTGTGCATGCCTGATGATGTTGGGGCATGCCTCTAATGAGATGACAGTGTCATGGGGGATTTCCCAGCTCTGGACATCAGTGAGCTCCTGGACAGCTTTAGGTGCAACCTTGCAGCATCACAGAGGTGTTTTATTGGATTTAGATCAGGTGAGTGTGGGGGACAGTTGATGGTATTATTTCATTACTCCTCCAGGAACGTCCTGCATCCTGATAATTAATGTCAGGATAATGTTGCCTAGCCTGTAGAGGTATGTGGGTCCTTCCATTGATACGCCTCCTCAGACCATCACTGACCCAAAAGTATTTACGGGGCTTCACTTATTCCACATTTTGTCATGTTACAGCCTTATTCCAAAATGGATTAAATTTGTTTCACCTCAAAATTCTACACACAATAACCCCACAATGACAAAGTGAAGAAAAAAAAACTTCTTGCAAATGTATTAAAAATAAATAACATCCACATAGATATTCACAGCCTTTGCCATGACACACAGGCACAACTGAGCTCAGCTGCGTCCTGTTTCCACTAATTGTCTGTCACACCTTTATACAACTTGATTGGAGTCCACCTGTGGTAAATTCAGTTGATTGGACATGATTTGGAAAGGCACGCACCTGTTTATATAAGGTCCCATAGCTGACCGATTATGTCACAGTACAAACCACGCCATGAAGTCCAGGGAGATGGAACAAGGCACAGATCTGGGCTGCAATACAGAGGTGTTTTTACAGCATTGGAGGTTCCAGTTAGCAGAGTGGCCTTCATCATCTGTAAATGGATGAAATTTGGAACCAGTAGGACTTCCTGGAGTTGGCAGCCTGGCCAATTTAAGTGATCTGGGTACAAGAACCTTAGTTAAGAAGGTTCACTCTGTCAGAGCTCTGGCATTACTTTGAGGAGAGAGGAGACCCTTTTAGAAGGACAACCATTTCTGCAGCATTCCACCAATCAGGCCTGTATAATAGAGCGGCCAGATGGAAGACAACCCTCAGTAAAAGGCGTATGACAGCACACCTGGAGTTTACCAAAAGAACTGATGAAACAAAGGCTTTAAAATATTGAAGGTTTTTTTTTTTTTTTTTTTTTTTTTTAAGGGAAGATTGAAGTCTCTGGTTTAAATGCCAAGTGTCATGTCTGGAGGAAACCAGGTACTGCTCATCACTTGGCCAATACCATCCCTACAGAGAATCATGGTGGTGGTAACATCATTCTGGGGATCTTTTTGGCAGCAGGAAATGGGAGGCTATTCAGGGTCAAGGGAAAGATGAATGCAGCAACGTAAAGAGACATCACTGATGATATCCTGCTCCAGAGTGCTCAGGACCTTTGGCCTGGGGTGACTATTCATCTTGCAGCAGGACAAAACTCCTAAGCACACAGCCAAGATGACAAAGGACTGACTTCAAGACAACTCTGTAAATGTCTTTGAGCGGCCCAGCCAGAACCCAGACTTGAACCTGATTGCACTTTTCTGGAGAGAAGTGAAAATTGCTGTACAGCAAAAAAAAATTGCATCCAATCTGATTGAGCTTAAATGAAAGGGCAAAAGATGGGGGAGGGGTGGTGACCTCCACCTGGGAAAAACCATGACTGTTGTGGGCGGTTCTCATAGTTGCCTTTTTAGTGCACTGGTGAATTTCATTAACACTAAAGCAGCTGAACTTGATTAACAACCCCCTCTCCTACCTGACTAACCAGATCAACAACCCAGAAGTTTAACTGAAGCTATGCTGTCTTTCAAAAGTGTTTAATTTTGAGCAGTGTGCCACAAAGACTGACATTTGTTAACGGAAGATCATCAACAGGCTGCACAATGAAACAGTCATACCAGATTTTCCTTTCGTTTAGTTCTTTGAGTGCTTTTGTTGAACGACTCGGAACTAACTTTGCAGTCAACAGGCATCACGTCACTACCTCAAAATAGCGCATCTTCTGGTTTACGCGATGTAAAAACTACATTTCCCACAAGGCCGTTTTGCGCTTTGCCATTGGCGGTGGCACAGGTGACCGCGGACGCTCTGAGTTGTGACAACTTGACCGTCAAAACGAAAACAAATTGGCTAAGTGTCATCGGTTACACACGCGCTGTCGGTGTGTGGAAATACGGGGAAAGTCAAACCTTTTAAACCTTGGTTTAAAACTCAGCTTGTGATAGTTTCTGACGGACTTGGTGCCAGAATATATAGAAGTGGCCACGCACTTTTTTTTCCTCCTGAGCTTGACTCTTATTTTGTACTGTCTGACCTTCAGAGCGGGTAAGTTAGATTTCACCAACGCTACTGAAACTGTTAGCCTCTGCTGAACCGCTGCTGCCTTTGGAAACCCCGTGAAAAGAAAAGACAAGTGCGCGTTTCTCTCTTTCAACGCAAACTTGGGCGATTTATCGACTTAAAATGGAATGGATTAGATTGAACTAATTGATTATGTAGCCCTTTTGGCGAAATAAAAGGCATAATTTCATCAAATTAATACAAAAATGAATTGTGCATATAGGCTACAAACAGAAATTATACAGGACATTTGTTCAACTTACGTATTTTTGCCGCCTTGAATATATTTGTAGAAAGATTTGAGGTGTTCATGACACATTTCAAAATTTATTGCGTTAAATATTTTTGTACGTGTAGTTTTAACCATAATTTAAATATAAAGACACATTTGCCATTGTGATGAAGACCCTGGAACCACTAGTTTGCAGTGCGCTGCACCACTTTTTCCCTTTTACTGTCCTCTGCGAGTCTGCTGGGAGTTGCCCCTCTTGCCATTTATAAGCTGCAGCCAGACCGGTATCAGTAACAACACCTCAGCCTTGGGGTATGCTGCTATGTATAAGTCTGTGACTGTACAGACTGTATTACTGCTCTGCTTGTTAAAGTACTTACCTTTAAAGTTATGTAAGGTGCCAACGTGATGAAGGCATCCCTGATTTATGCAGCCTTTCCTCTCAGCACAGAGCGCTATTCCTATTTCCATGTGTGTGCGCGCATGTGCTGTATGTATGTTAAGTGGAAAGTAGAGTTTAGCATGACAGTTGCTGTCTGGTAATGCAGCGATAATAGTTGACTCTAAAGGCGCATGCGTGGTTGGGTTTAACAGTCGTTTCACCGTGAAGTTTTAGCTTGCTTTTTCTGGACTGTGGTTAAACTGTTTGACCAACAATTTACTTAGATAGATATGACGTTCCCCAACTAAAGGTGAAATAAATTTAGATGAAGCAACTTATTTAAAAAAGCAGATTCACATCAGCAGAATAATGTTTAGCATCAGCAACCCCTTATTTATTTACCCCTCCTGCCTGAGAACATGGGTGCGACTCTATATTACACCATCAACGTTTGGCATAAGACTCTCTTCTCTGACCCTTGGTCTCTGCAATCATACATACTGTTCCCCAGAGAGCAAAGTTGCAGTGGAAATATCAGCAATCTGTTTGTATCATCTTTTGGGTTACTGCTTAAATTCATTTGTCTTTCCAGCTTCCATCCTTTCTGCATGTCTAACAGATCTGTGAAGCTTGGGTTTTGGGGAACTGCAGTGGGTTCCTTTTATTTGCGCTTGCCTTGAATCACTTCCAGTAAAATGAGTTTTGCACAAAGGCATCAATGAGGTCAGGGTTCATCGTGATACGTGAATATATGCACATAGGTTTTGATATAGAAGACAGTGAGAGCTGTGAGGCAAGAGGATGTCTGTCTACATGTTACTGAAACACAAAAACACCCACCGATAAGTATGCATGTGACTGGATTTAGATCCGACTATGAGAATAATGTATAATTTGAAATATGCATGATTAGAAACTTTCTTTTTTCCTTCTGCCTCTGTCTAGTTTACCTCTGACTCTCTTTGTTTCTCTCTCATGACTGTGACCATGACTCTGTAACCAGTCAGAAATGATGAAAAAACTGGGCATCAGCATGGGCAGATAGCATAGCTGTAACTAATCCAGTCTGCATGCCAGTGAACCATTTTAATTGAATTATTGCCTTGTAATTTTATCACGTGCCTTTCGGCATGTTTACATAACGGAGATTATACTGCTTATTAGCTAAACTTTCAAATAAATGATGGATTGCTGGAGATATATCTACATAGAGTCAATTGATATTGAAACTAAATTTATAAGATTAAATGTATTCATGTGCAAGGTGTCTGTGTAGCTGTTTAGACTCCTTTTGAACAAGTGTAAGCACACAGATAAGAATGGGACTGAAGGTCATCGTGAAACCAGCAGGGTTATGTAGTGCACACAATACGAGAGGGGCCAGGGTTATTAAACGCACAGAGCTGTCAGGTCACTGTCAGCAAGGTCAGAGGTCACTGGTCACAGTATGCAGAGCAGCAGTGACGCCTGATAGACTGACTGCACTCTAATTCTCTCCAATAGCACAGCTGCCACCTGTTCAGACAGAGCAGCAGAAGAACCCAAAGTTGTGATGGAAACATCACAGGAAATGTGACCACATCAAGTATTCTAATTAAGATTTCATTTTAGTATTTCTGTTCCCTGATTTGTGTTCAACTTGGCACAGAAAGGCACAAATTAGTACAAGCATTGCATCCTGTGGGTGTGTGTGTGTGTGAGAGGGAGAGAGAGAGAGAGAGATGTTTTCAGCCTCATTGGGTATGTGTCTGCAGTCCATTGGTGATGGGATTAATTTTCTTCAGGTAAACATAGGCAGGCAAGGTGTATACACACACACACACACACACACCCGCACTTGCACACTGAGACACACAAGCACAGTGGCTCGGTTCAATGGATGTACTCTAGTGTGAAAGAGCATCAGGTGTGTGTAAACACAGCTTCATCCGTTTGCCATATGGACAGTTCTCCCATGACCTACACAGCTTTCTCAGCTCTTGTCCTTAGACCAGGACCTATCCTGGTGGTTTGTTGGGTTTTCCTTAGAGATAATAATTTAAAAAAGCAGACAGAAATATAACACAAACTACTGCATAAGCTTTTCACTGAAGCTCGGAGTTTTTCTAGAAAACCACGGGAATGACAGCGTTTCATGTGCTATATGACAACATGACCCATGATCTCCCAGAGGTAAGTGTGGGTGGGGCGTTTTAGGGCATGTGCAAAATGTGTGACTCCACTTCCTCATCTTATCTTCATTCCACAGTTTCACATCCTCTTTTTTTAACTGAGAGACAGTAGTGACAGGCATGCTCAGTCTCATTTCTCTCTGTAAGAATCACTGCTCATCTGCATCTGTGAGTTGTACACAACTGGGCAGCTGCAGTGTGTGTTTCTACAGTTTTCTTATCATTGTGAACTGCAGTGATCAGTTGTAGTTGGTAGATGTGTCTCTCTTAAACCTCATCTCTTACAGTGGCCCACAGAAAATGTTAGTTACCTTTTGTCTCCTTATTAAGATGTTTTTCAGAAATATTAAACATAAAGTTGCTGCACACTTAACACACAATGTGTGTGACATTTGAAAGTTGTTCACACAAATGGGAATGAATCAGTTATTGTGTTAAAAGCTTTTCTTAATAAAGGAAGGTATGTGTAGTAAGTGTGTTTAATGAATATGAAAGAATGTCCTTGGTAGTTTCACTTCTTTCAGGAAGCTAACAGTTGAAGTGCATTGTGAAATTAACACAAAAAATATAGATTTCAAGGTTCAGTGAAGCACTGATGATAAAAGATAAGTATTGTATCTGCTACTATTTAAGTTGTGCACAAACTCTTTCCATTTATAATCGTCTTCAGTGCTGTGAAAAGTAGTTCCAGCTGAACAGTTCAGTTCTTTACTAGGAACTTTCACATGTACTCCACAGACTGCTTCCTTAATGTTATGCCCTGTGGGCTCCTCAAACAGGTTTTCATAATGTGATTCCAAGTGTTGTTGCTATTGACTGTACTTTGAAACCACTGGTGATTTGAAAACACAAATCTGCTTTCTCAAGATTATCTCACCAGCATTTTTTAGCTTAGATTTCAGGCTAGTTTTAAGGCATAAAAAAGATCCAGGGAGAGTATTTATTGACTCACTGATGACTTATGATGACATATTTATCCATATTGGATGCATAATCTTCTGCCTTTGACTAATTGTCGTTCGGAAATGGCTGATATCCCAAATTCCTGGAACTTATTATCATCTTGTGTTGACCTTACTTTTTCATCTAGGCTCAGAAATGTTCAATCCTCCTCAGCTTGTACCTTTTTGGGGTCGGGGTGGTCATACTGAGCTCCACAGTGGCGTCACATTGCTTTTCATGTTTGTACTTGAAGATTTAAAACAACAATATTTTACTCCCTCAACAGCATATCTGATTTAAATTTGCCCACTATCCCCTTCAAGGTCAGCTCATTGTGAAGTGCTGTAAGTGTTCCAGCACTCCTGCTAAGCTTGGATTGCTCCTTGGAAGTCCCATTTTGACCATTTCTAGGCATGGATTTGCAGTGCCCGATAACAACTGTTCAACTTGAATGTCATTTTAAGGAAGAATATGGAGTCAAACGGAGTAGTTCTGATTGTAAACAGCTCAAAATGAGCTGAGCCTGCTCTCTAAGTTCAGGTAATTTGAGCCAAATTTTCACTGACAGACATTTGACCTTCAGGGACAAATTTACAGTGACAACTTGTGAATTAAATAAAATGACATGGATCTGGTGGCGCTCCCTTCCACTCTCCCATTTAAGACCACTGTTCGGTCTTTGTGTCAAAAAAGAGAGACCAGTGTCCCAGTTACCCATGATGATTAGTAAAATGATAGCTGGGTCCGTCTGACTCAGAGGTTGATGTTTGCTGTTCACGAAAGTTTGAGGTTCATGATGAAACTGCAGACAAGCATGGTACTTCCAGGAAGTGATTTAAAAATAGCGTTCAAGAACTTTCTTTGAATTGTACCTTGTGCAGCTTTCAGTTATGAATTGAATACAAAAAGATACTCAAATTCCAAGTGATTATAACTTGATTCCTTAGATATTTTCTTTCCCCTTGCATAATGCTGTATGTTATATAACCTGAAGGTGGTTGGCTTCTCGCTGTCATTCCCAAAACACTGGCATATTCAGTGTTTTGGGAATGACCAGGGAAAAATCCTGAGTGAAACAAGCATGTATAAATTAATCCTAGTAATTTAATAGCTGCGTTTTTGTTGTTGTTGTTTTTGTCTTTCTTTCTTAGGGCTGGTAATAGTCTATGGAAAAATCTTTAGATTATTCTTTGATAAAGTTATATACAGCATCAAGCTGTGTGTGGGTGTCTTTGTATAGATAACATTCCTTTGTCTATACTGTTTAAATAAAACCTGTCTCATTTTTGATCAGAGGACAAGAAATGCATTCTGATCGGAAACGCACTCTTGTGCACATGTACAGGCACGTTCGGTTACTTTCCATCACTAATACTAACTAAGTTTTTCAAGGGTTTTCTAGATTGCATTACAGCGATTTGATTTTTTTTGTACTCAAGGTGGTCATTAAGTTTGTGTGTGATAGCCAAAGTCAAATTAAGTTCACTCGTTCACTCACTCACTCACTCACTCACTCACTCACTCACGTGTGTGTGTGTGTGTGTGCCTTATCTCTCATCTCATCTCTAGATTGCCTTCCATTCCATTTTCCCCGCATATGGTGATGTTCACCCATGCAAAAAGAAATGTAGTGTAGCTGGTTGCTGGTTGGTTAGTTACTGTACTACCCACTCTTAAATTCACAAACAGAGACCACTACTTTTGTTTTGTCTATATTATTAGTGTATATTTTAAATTCTCCAACAAGAAATGGGATTGATTTAAAATAAACAGCTATTTGCTTCATACACGGTGACTGGAATATCATGACGTCGTTGCCTGTAAACTGTAAAAGTGTATATTTCTTCAAATTAGAGTTGTAATATCCCACATAATTTATAGCATGTGACAAGTATCATTAAACCACAACAACACTCCTATTAGTCATACACACAGCATGGGGTCACCTCGGGCCAAATGATGTTATGTGCATAGTCGGGAAGTGCTGTGGGTTCTGTTTTTTCTTTTGTTTTCTTTTTCAAAGAGTTTCAGTTATTTAGTGTTTTTAACGTAAAGCAACTCTTACATAAGTGAATATTGGTTTCGTCAGTTGCTGTGGTCTGCAAAATCTTGCAAACATCACTTTGGTTACCAAAAATATCATGTGTCATGCTGGTATAGTGGTGTGGCGCCACCTTCTCCCTTCCAAAAGAGATTTTAATCACAGCAGACTTCCTGGTTAAATAAAGCCTAAATGGATTAAAAAAAAAAAAAAAAACCCAAAAGAATGCATTTTAAAGTTCTAAAATAGTTATATTTTATTATTTCTTGATACATCATACACAAAAGCACACACAGGTGAAGTTACAGGCTACATCCAGCTTCTCTGACTTTCCTGGCATATTTACGGCCCTGTTTTATCCTACATCAATAGCACACAGTATAGGTATAAGTGAGCATAGCCAGGTCAGACTTGATTCAAACATATCAAAACACGTGTTTTAGACTTTCAGCAGAGACGGAGTACTGGTCTTTATAGAGTAGACGGTATCTGGCCCCAACTGTAGTGACTGAGGCACTAAAAAATGGGAAACTTGCGTATCGACAATGGAGAGGGCCTTGATTGGCGTATGTATGTTTGCGTCAATGTATGTGAATCCTTGAAAGGCCGTTGTAAAAGGGTACAAGGCTGTCATGGACAGAGATTTTTCCCCCCCTACTCCTACTGAAATTAGTTACCATTGGTAGCCTACACAGGAACGCAGTTTCTCTGGCCAATAAGCTGAGGACCCTCATGGGTCCTGCCCCTGGACGAAAATAACCCAGTAAATACACTGTGGGCACTATGAGAACTGGAGCTGGCCTACTGTTTAAAGCTTTGTGTACAAACAAGGGATTCTTGTCAGCTGGGTGCTGCTGAACCATGCTGGCCTGTGTCCTCCTCTGTTGTGTTAGGAACAACTAGCATAGTGGCCTGTTTTTCCTTATTGAGGCATACAGGGTGTGGAGAGGTTGGAAGTGTTTGCATGGAGGGATGTAAATAACTGGGTTAGATACAGTGTTATTAATTGCAATAGTCCTTAACATAAGAGATTTTCAGATGAGTACTGCCTCTTTACAATAGTTTTATGGGAACATCTATGTGAATATCAATGGGGAATATCTTTAAAAACATGATACTGTTAGCCAGATCTGTACACGATACTGTTGTTTAGTATGCTATGCCATGAATTTATTCTAATATCAGTTCAGGCGATGATGCTTGAACTCATCACTCAGAGTCTGTTAAAAATCCTATCCATAAGTCTTGATGCATGCTCAAGCATCCATGTAGGGAAATCCCAGAAAGTTGATTCTGTTCATCTGGATGTAGCATTTTCAATAAGAGGAACGTTTCGTCACTCATTCACAGGACTTCTTCAGTCAGCTGACTGCAAGAAACTGATAGCACGGCCCATTGGTAATCAGTGATGCTAGTTTTGGTCATTATGCAAATGTACTGTTTTTAAGATTGGTGATACCTGCAGTCAGCTGACTGAAGAAGTCCCTCGGATGAGTGACAAAACGTTTCTCCCACTAAAAAAGCTACGTCCAAATAAACAGAATAAACTTTCTGGCATATCCATAAGTATTCTGTTTCCTTATTTTTTTGTCTGTCTGGTTGTTGATGGATACAACGTACTTGTGTATATGCATTTTATTGAACGTGAGATTTTGATGTTCTTTACTGTCTTATAGAGAGCCGCCTTCAGGAGCCATTCATCCGTAATATCTCATTAGTGACAGAAATACATGGATATTTCATATAGGTTTAAGTTTGCAATACTCTGCTGCGCTACTTCACACAACGTAAACCCTCATTGGAGGCAGTTTTTTGCTGGTCAGATCTTATGCCTGTAAAGCTACCACTAGTGTTTCAGATGTTTATTTGGATCACATTTTAGCTATGTGTGATGTATCCTGTGTGGGTTTTTTTTTTCTAAACATAAATTAAATCATACCTGAATAATGCAGAGATCACAGCTTTAGAAATCCATGGCTGTGTTTCATTTATTAGAAAAAGTCAGAAAGCTGTGGAAACAACACAGAAAAAATGCAGATCATCAATGTTAATGTTTTCGTGTGCTTTTTTTGTTTGTGTGTTGTGGTTTTAGTGTGTGGGTGTTCAATTAAAGAAGTAAATGTGCTGATTCATTGCCCCATAGGTCATAAAAACACAGTGACCTGGTAGATAAAATAAGGAATTGCATTCAAATTGCGCACGCATATGTGTAGGTGTTGCTGTATGCAAATATTGTGCACTGAATTAAGAAGAGAGGCTGGACTGAGGAGGAGCTGCCCAATGGAGACAGAGAGAGAGAGAGAGAATGAAGAAACTAAAAGAGTTAGCTAGACACAGGGATCTCCTTGTTGTTGGCCCAGACGATTGCATTCAGGGTAATTTAGGGGAAGAGGAGGGAAACAGCAGGAGGAGGAGGACGTCTAGGAAGCTGAGCTGGTGGTTAGAAAGGGGGCAGAAGGTGACTAATAGTGACTGACACTGTACTTTAAGCAGTTCTGTTGAGGAAGGGGTGGCATCACAATCAGTGGAGCAGCACATGTAAGCTCTGGTTGGCTGAGCAAGCAAACGGCTCATGGTCTCTGTCAGTGTGTTTACTAACACGTGGAGGAGCTCATTTCACCTGGATACACTATGCTGTCTTTGGAGTAGTTGGAGAGTTTCTGGTAAGAACCTGAAGTTTAACTATACTGAACTATATCCATTGTTGTGTGTGTTTCGTGGTGCCTGGCTGTTGACAGCTGTCACCCTGAGTTCTGTTCGTGCTTACTATGAAACATATCTGAACATATTATGTGCAAAGTATTTTAGTAAGAGGCAGAGGAACAGAAACACTTACAGCAACAGAAACCACTCTATTATGACCCAATTTTAACGTACTGTCTGTGACTTTAAAAAAGAAAAACTAAAGAAAAACTAAAAATATGATTGAGCAGCTTTGAAGCGTTGTTCTGTAGCATTGTGATCGATTATGGCAGAGGGCAGTTAATCTTAGCTGAACTGCAAGCATAAAAAGAAAAAATGATCAGTGGAGGCCAGACTTTCAGAAGGTTTTCTGTGATGGGTTATCCTCTAGTTTATAAGTTAGACTGCACTACACCTGCTCTTAGAGATGCTGGATAAAAGTATTATAATTTGCCCTATAGTGCCCTACTGTCTGTGTTTCACTTACATAATCTCTATATGGCTTGTGTATAATTCAGGTCTCGTGTCTGTTTAACCAGTTTGGTTAGATGAAATAGCTTAACTGATTTTAGATTAGACAGCGTTTGTTTTATTGTAGGTTTTTTCTTCCCTTCCTTCTAGGAGTTCAAGTGCTGTATGAGAGTGGCTGTGAGTGTCAAACAATTGCAAAGTTTTTGGTGTAAACTGTTCCTTACTCCTAATTTAAAAAAAAGTCATGGCTTGAAAAGTTTTCGTTTTTTCCATGGCTTGCCTGGCAAGGAAGTTGCTTCACCGCCAACAGAACTAGGAGTTGTGAAAACTCATGGAAGGAAAGGGGAAGTAATGCGTTGTGGTTTTTATTGATGATGCTGGCTCATTGTCCTTCCTATATCTCTGTGTTGTACAATAGATACTGCGGAGAGCCTGCTGTTGTTCTTTCCGTGCTTTTTTTCACAGTACTCTCTGCTCTGTGATCACTGCAGCTGAGATTCGCTGTGCTCAGGGTCTCTCTTGAGCGACTATAAATAGGCTGTTGAATGTGACAGGCATTGTGATTCAGGCACAGTGTTGATGAGTTATGGTGATTCATTTAGATGACCTTCTGAAAGTTAGCCACTGAGTAGAATCACTCAACCTTAGCACTTCATCTTGGTGAGGAGATGGTAATAAATTACACAGATGTTTCTATCCACGTTACATTTACAGTCTTAAGAATACTGACTATGTTTGAGTGGTTATTTTGCATCATATATGCTCTTTGTGTGTGTGTACCATGTTTAGATATCTTTGTGATGACCAAAAATTGGAACGCTACTATACTTGTGGGGACCACCAGTCCCTTATGGCAACAAAATGCCCGTCCCCACGAGTTTGAAGACGTTTTTGAGACTCAGAATGTGGTTTTGGTGTCAGGGTTACTATTAGGTTTAGGCTAAGGGTTCAGGGATTCATTTTTGATGGTTAGCGTTAGGGTAAGCGGCTAGGGAAAGCAGTATGTCACTTAGATTTCCTCACTAAGATATTAAAAGTGTGCGTTGTGTATATGTGTGTATATTAGATCCCTTTTAACTCTAAACATGATATTGTGCAATGTTTTGATATTTCCCTGGGTGTGCATCCCTTTTCATAAAAACCTTTACATCCTTGACGCTCTTACTTTAATGATTAAGGTGTTAAAATGACTGGAAACCAGGTATAGGAAATGCAGTGCCTGAAGAATGAGCCGAGGGGAAAAAACAACAACTTTCAAATCAGTTATTGAGAATATCTTCCTGTCGCATGTGTTTATACTTAAGCCTCACCATGGTCTGTTGCTTCACTTGCTTCCGCTATGGAAATTCTGCTTTAAGTGTGTGTTGCACACCTGCAGCTCCCCCTTCTTAAATACTTCACTGCTTCCTCAGCTGCTTTTTCACAACTGCCAAATTTATATGCTTTATTTATAGCTGTTCATTTTATCTGTCAGTTCTCTGTTCAGTTTTACATTTTATAACCAATCATTTCTTCTTTTTCTTTTTGATTGTTGTTGTCTCTTTGTTCTTTCATCCCTTCATCCCATTGGCCATCGACTTTCTCCATCATCCAGACATGTAGTCAGCAGCATAAGCAGAGCACACACTACTTTGTGAACTCTTATTTACTCTCAAACAGGTAATTGTATTTTGTGTGTGTGTCTGTCTGCGTGCTGTTAAGATATCTTTTCATATTCTACCGTCAAAATCATCATGCCAAGTGTTTGTAGCACTGTGCTTCATTCAGAATTAGAAATAAAATCAGTGTGCCTATATAACCCCTGTATACTCTAACCATATATATTTATGTCACAGATATGTTGTGGTAACAGATGAAAATGATCTGCCTGTTTGCCAGTGTGTATTCAAAACAGAGGTCTGTTTACATGTTTTCAAGGGGTCTGCATGAAAACTGGCAAACACTGTAGAGCACTAATACACATGCAGGCTTACTCTTCATGTGCATGCCCTCCTCTCACCTGTACCCGCACTTACAGACAAACACATGCACAAATGCATGAGGCTACGCACACAAACACAAACACATGAACAAAACAACAAAAAAACACATCGTAGTTCAGGGGAACATGGTGTTCCTGAAAAGGAGAACAGAGAGCAGGGGTTATTTTAGCCATTAGCACAGGAAGACAGATAACTTAATGAGAAAGCCAGCGTTTGTGTTTTGACTTGAAATTATATTCTTTGGTTTTCCAAGTTTGGTTTGTGAAAACTTTAATGTCTTGTCATGAGGAAGGTTAAGCAGCTTTTGCACTACATTGTTGACGTGTTGGTGTTCAGAGCAGGGCTAGCCATGTTGCACTTCTTGTCTCTATGCTCACTAACTGTGCAGAACTGATTTGCACAGGTCCTACACTTGCTTTAAATAAAGTTTTACATGCTGTTATGTATATGCAGGTTTGACAACATACATGTGCACCATGCATGCATAGAGGTAGGTGTGTGTGTATGTACACACCCCACATATAACTGCTGGTTGCCAAAAAGGCCCTTCTTGGCTTTGCACAGCCACTTCTAAAAATAAACACTCCACAAATTAACACGCTGTCTCCGAGCACAGGTGCTATAGCCCCACACTGCCCCCACATTAGTGTGTACTTCTGTGTGTACCTGCTATGCTTCTGCCTGGAAGAAAAGCTGTCATCACTCTCTAAGTTGAATATATTACACACGTCTTGGATTTCTTGGTTAGCTGTCATTACCTAGCCATGTTGCCTCCTCACAGATGTATCTGATCAGCCTTTACTTTGACCTGATCTGAAAATGTTTTCATTCACACAAAGTACTGCAGTAACACATGCTTACGGTAGTTTAGACATGAAAGCTGGACTTTGGTTGAGATATATTTGTGTGACTAACGTGGCAGTGTTGGCCTCTGACCCGGGCTTCCTCCGCTCTGCATCCTACTACTGGCTGTCAGTGTTTGAAGTGAAGGGGTTGTGACATTACAGCGTCGGACACACAATAGCTGCTCTGTGCTTCTACTGCGTCACAAATGCCCCCAGTTGATGTCAGGCAATGGGAAGGCCCGTGTGGGGGATCACACTGCCTGGTAGCAGTGTGTCACCATATGATATCAGGAAGTGACATCCTATATGATGAAAATAAGTGTGCAACATTTACAGGACATGTAGGTCATGGATCATGGCTTTGCTACACTGGGTGGATGTATGATACATACTTTGCATGATGAAATGGAGGAAGTGAAATGTAAACATTGCAGCAAACGCATCTGCCACTGTCAGCAGCTTTACAAACAAGGTAGATTTGGAATCCTTTCACTTGTGCATCGGGGATTCAAATGTGTGTCTTTGGGCCATTATTTGTGCCACGTAGCCTGGTTTCTCTACAAAGTAGACCATTAGGTTAAAGTCAAATCTAATATGTTTTTATAAGTAAAGCTTGTGTCTGCAAAGAGCTTTTATGGTCAACGACAACATACCCCTGTGCAACTAGCCCTTGTTGTGCACAAGTACACACCTTGAAGACATTTACTACTGTCGCTGCAGGAAGGCTCCTTCTGTTGCAGCACTGCATCAACAGCTGTAAATCTTGGAGATTAAAGCAAGTTGGCCTTTAAGATCTGCCGGTTGGCCTGCCCTAAAGTCCAAGTTCTGGCACAAGTGTGTTTTGGAAACTGTATGTGTTTGAATGTGTATCTCTGCATGGGTGTGTGTTTTTCATGTGGGCCATCTAATGGGCACAAAGCAGGCAGTGTGTGCCCCCTCGGTTGCTGAAATGTACACTGTGGACAACAGGCGGCTTCAGTCCTTCTCAATAGGAGCTGCCCTTCTTATTGTACCTCGTGCACAATGAGCTTTTCTCTCTCTCTCGCTCTGTCTTTCTCTCTTTATGAGCATATACAGAGAATGGAGCAATCACATTCTGACTGATGCTGTGCTATTCCATCCCACATCACCGCAAGCACAAGATATTTGACTAGACACTGAGATGTAGCACTGATTTCATCACACCTTTATAAGGGCCAGAGAAGCTTAGTCACGCAGGGGCTAAACGCAAGTCACTGCAAAAGGGGAACTATCAGCCCAGGAACTCCCCAATCTATGTTAACTTTGTGTATGTGAGAGAAAAAAAGCAGATGTTGAAAGGGGTGACGGGTGTTCCCCTCATCTTTTTGCTCACATGATCACTTAAGAACAACAAGACCACATGACTTTGACATGACTGGAAATCATCCTCTATGTGGGGGAGAAAAAAAAAATATTTCCTGTCTTTTTTTTCATCATAACAAAACTAAAAGGGTCAAGTCAGGGTGACACCAGGAGTGTGCAAGTGATCCTTGTTTTTGCATTAGCTGCTAATGTTATGTGATTGATGCACATTAGGTGTGAAAGTCAAAAGGTCATTGTAGTTGAGGAATTTTGATTCAAAAGATACAGCATGAAAGGTGGATTTTTAAGTGACATTTCAATTTGGGAACAGTCATGAGATGTATGTTTTTGGGGGGTTGTTTATTTTTTATTTCTTTGAAAACGTTGCACAACAGGCAGACAATGAATGGATGGTTAGATGAATAGATTTGAGAGGCTTGGCTGATTCTGGTGATGTGTCAGATTGTTCACTGATCCAGCTTTGCTTACTTGAGGCCTGATCAGAGACTGAATCAGCGAATGCTGTGTCAACTTGCATTTTATGAGTATTCACCCTGCTTTTAACCTTGATTTAACTTAACTGAACAGAGGATTTAATCAACTTGGTTCTGGACTTCTTTTAAGTTTAAATAGCTGTTTGTCCAAACCTTTACTAACTATTGATAATCTTGTTATTGTCAAACAATTGCATACATATACTAGCATAAATAAGACAAACTAAGGTAAGACTTTTGTTTGTTATTTGCAACAAGAAATGAATGCTTAAACTAAAGTTGAGAATCTGCTTCACTGTTAAATAAACAAAGCCAAAAAAATTGTAACATCACAAAGCCACAGGTCTGTTCACACGAAAGTATTGCACACAACTCCTCTTGTCTCACACCTCCCTTCCTACCACTGATGTTGCCATTAAACATAAAATAATTAGTTTAATTAGGCTTTTCTTCAGAGGTTAGATGTGTTTCCATAGTCTAGTTCTTTGCAAATGATCTGTAATAGCGAGGTTACATTTTATGTTAATCAGATCATTTCTAGCTTCTTTCTATGTTTCTACAATTTTTTCATTTCCCCCCCTCGTTGTCTCTTTTACAGCTTCCACTACCTCTCGGGCTGGACTGTGGTGCATTAACGTCAGCTCGCCCTCCCCTGCCCCCCCGCCCCTCAGCCATGGCCTCACGCATTGGCTTGCGGATGCAGGTACAACATAACCTTCCACCGTTCAGTAAACAACATGCGGGAGTTTTGCTGGCTATTTATATCACTTTATATTTGTAATGTTGTGCAATGAATTTGAAACGTTTTTTTCCTTTTAAATGTCTCATAGCATTTTGATTGATAGATGGGCGTGTCTACCTATCTAGGTTTCATTAGGGCCTGATTTTCACTGCCATGTATAAGGTATAACACAGAGCCAAAAAAATAAAAGGAAAAAAACAAATTCTTGTTTTTTCTTTTAACTATGTCATCGTTTTTACATAGATGGATATAAATAGACGCTATTAATCCCACAGTGGTGTAAATGCCTTGTTGCAGCAGCACAAGGGTCAGAAAGAAAAACAATGAATTAGAGGTACATTAGAAAACAAGAGAAATAGAAAAAATAAAATAAGTAAAAATACATTTAAAAAATATGTGAAAAAGCTACTAAAAATGCAGAATCAATAAAATATTATACAAGAATTATTGGTACTATGTACAAGTGGTGCTATATACACTAAAATATACTAAAAGGCAGGTCAGAGCTGTTGTTGTTGCTTTTTAATGGACATTGAAGCTTTTAAAATAAAGTAAATTTTAAAATACACGGCTGATTATAAACTTTTACATACAAATCTTACAGTTTTCACAAGTCCTCACCGTGTCCCTTTCAGACACTTTGCACAGATGATGATTGGAAAATATTTATTTTATGTGCATATTTTAAAGTCTGATTGCTGACTACTATTTTTGGGAAAATTCCACCTGGAAAAATGCCCTCCCCTCAAATTCAATTATAGCTCGGAAAAACTTTATGAAGTGAATCAGTAAAAAATAAAGATGCCCTTGAACTAAAGGCAAAAAAAAGAAAATCAAATTTGTTGTAACTATTGAAGCATGACATATGCTCCATTTGTTTCTATCATAGGCGATTCTGGTCAGCAACCTTCCAAAAATGTTGCCGGTTTCATTTTAATAACAGATGCAAGCTGGTGTTGGTTACACTGTCTTTCTGGGTGGAGGATAAACGCTAATGTGTGTGTGCATGTTTGTTTCCAGCTGATGCGAGACCAGCTGCAGCAGGAGGAGCAGCGTGAGCGGCAGCAGCTACAGCAGCAGCAGAATGCAGCCCTGCAGTACATGCAGAACCACATGGCTGGACCACCTGCACCCACCCCAGCCATTAGCACTCCACAACATTACCAAAGCATGCAGGTCCCCATGGAGGTTCTGAAGGTCAGATATTCTTAAGATGCAAATGGCTTATTGTGATAGATATGTTAAGCTGGATTTACTCCCCACACAGCTTCTTTTTGACAGGACCGCTGCACATTATGCTCAAACAGAGTGTAGTAAAATGTCTGCGGCTCCCAGTCCACATGCAAACATGCCAAGAGAAAGCACTAAACGGATTTATGGGACTGTAAAATAAAGAAAACATGTTGGTCGAGTGTTTGAAAAATATGCCTCTATTTATCTAATTACATGTTATAGCAATAAAGCAATGGCAGGAGCACGCAGCTGGAGGTGGTCAGGTCTTCACTGAGCATTGTGGCCTCCCAAACAAGCAGCACTGACACACAGGCAAAAGTCAGGTTTAAAAAGGAAAAAAAAACTAAAAGAGAACAATGCAGAGGCGCGCCAAGCAGGTAGGAAGACACAAAGGGGAGATAAGAGTGGTTTGACACGTTGTGCAATAGGGCAGACAGGAGCGATAGATAGAGTCAGTCAGGGAGAGATAAAGCCGAAGTGACATTTTGCCCGATTCCGGAGATGCTTGTTGTGTGCGTTGTTATCTTACATAATGTGTGTTTGCGAGTTTATGGGTTTGTGGAATACTCCATTATATGACATTGTGCATTTTGCAGTGAGAATTCATACATTGTGTAACTCGTATTGAATGCTCCAACTTGCTGCATTGACAGTTTACTCCGTGCACATGCGCGCATATGTGGGAGAGGGGAATGGTGTTTATGAAATCACCACAGAGTTTAAAGTTGTCATTGTTCTTTCTGTAGATAAGGTAAGCTTCTCTATTGCTCCCTCTGAACCATACATGTAAATGCATACATGTAAAGAACTGTTGCTGGACCAGGTATTTACAAGGTAAACACAGTACAAATATCTATTGACTGAAAAGTTCACAGTTCATTTAATATAACCCTACCATGGTTATATAAAAGAGAGCTGAGGGGGGGCTGAGGAGTCAAGTCTTTCTTTGTAGTAATGGCGAGCAAGCTTGCTCTCTCCTTTATTCTTTGATCTGAAGGAATGAGGCCAGTCCAATGCTCTGTGTGGCCACATCAGAGGATTCAGTGAGGCTTTACTCCTGTAGGCTTTACCACTGACTTAAACATACTATGTCCTAGTGCCATAACTGAGATAATGAGGTCTGAATCGCATATTCTGTGTTATCTTTTTAAATATTATTGGAAGGTAAGCTTATATTGTACATTAAATGTATGTTTTTATAATATCCCTGTGTGGTAACCGAAATAAGCGAACTTGCTGTTAGTTTTGCTTTTTGTTGCCACATATGTTGTGACAAAATAGAAAGAAGTACCCAAAAATGATACTTTGAGTTTCCAGCTGAATTAATAATAGAAAAAGAGCTGATTGCATTTTGTTTGTCCCTACTATAGGTACAGACTCACCTTGAAAATCCTACAGACTACCACATTCGTCAGTCTCGAAGACAGCAAGTGAAAGAATACCTGTCAACCACCTACGCTACCAAACAGGTATACGTTTGTCATTTTCTTCAGTCCGTCCATGTAGTATTGAAATACATCTGCCTATAGTATGTCAGATCTCTGTTCACTAATGCTTTAACACTCTCTTTCTCTGTGTGTTCCTAGGCGGTCAATGCAGTAGCGGGGCTAATACCACCCTCGCCTCCCACAAACATGGGACCTGCAGGGGGTTCAGCATCTGCACCCCCACCTCTCCAGTCCCCACACATGCGCACCGAGCAGCTTATGTCTGGCAACAGTGCCCCCAACAGCCCGATGGCCATGCTCAACATTGGTTCCAGCCACGAGAAAGAGGTAGATGTGTGGGCCGACAGTAGCATAAGCATAAACCCATAAACATTCATTCCTGGGCAGGTCATAAAGTACCATTTACAGGATCCAGACTGAACAAATATCCCTAAAATATGACTTAATTACACTCATATATAAAATTATGAGGGTTGACTATTACCCCCAAAGTAACATCATCTCCACATTTTATGAAAGCACCATAATGATTTAATTGGTCTTTTGAAGGGTTAGAGGAGCATTTTGTCACTGTGCTGATGTTAATGTGTTGTGCACACAGTAGGGACATGGATGAATGTGTTGACTAACTGGCAATAACTGAGAATGGTAATCAGTGGGATTTAAATGCTCCATAATGGCCTTGCACCAGTAATTACAGCTTAAAAAGTGACAGGGAAGCAGCAGAATGGATGGCCCTTTGAACCTGTAAGACTTTGACCTGCTGTGTGCTTTTAGCATAACCACCTCTCTTCTGTCTCTCTCTAATCCTTTTAGATAGATAAGTAGTGTAACATGCATGTCCGGGGAGGTTACAATCAAGTTTCTGAGGCTTTAATCAATTTAGGAGGAGGGACAGCATTTTGTTTTTAGTTTAGTGTTTTCTAAGCATTCAAATGGTGGTTTTGGTTTGCTTCCCTCTCTTAACATTAGATAAAAACAGGTCACAAAAACATAATTAACACTTCTTTTTTTTTTCCCCCAGATGGATGAGGTCATTGATAACATCATCAGTATGCAGTCCAATGATGAGTATTTTCAAAGTTTCACTGATGCTGTCCAAATGTCAAACACAGTAAGTAGGAACAATACATATAACTAAGCTACATTGCATCCAAACGTATGATTTTATTTACACATTGTGTAAGCGCACGCAGTTTGTTTTAAGGGACTCTTTGCATATTTAAATGGGTCATTGACTATAAAGGCCACAAAACCTTTACGGGCAAATTTGTCTCTGCTGATTTTATGCTGTGACACTACAGTGGTATTGTGGTAACAAAAACAAACAAGTGACGTATCTATGAAATGGTGCAGCAAAAGAGGTTTGGCCGCTCTGCAACAGTCAGAATTACTTTTAAAATAGATTTTTGCACTGAAAACATTACTGCGTCGTGTTATTCTGAAAATTGAAACCAAGCGTTACATAGATTTGTTCTCTGTATTACCACATGATTCTATAGCTTGAATGCACCACCTTAAAATAAAATAGGGAATTCCCAAGTGTTTTAATTAAGTATGATGTTCTCTGAAACCTGCGACCACTTCAATTCCGGCTCTGTCTGTACTACACGAGTCACAGAGCTGGATATGCCAGGTCATCAGTACTCAGACTTTTAAGTGCTTCCTATAATCATTGTTCTTGTGTGTGAAAATGGCTCTCTTTATGGCAGTTGTTAATGTTCTTAGTTATTCTTAATGTTATCGGGTATTGCTTTGTGGTCACTTTAACATTAGTGTTTCTAAGTAGAGTTTTCTCTAGATTTGATTCTGTATATTCTCATACACTAACAATGTTTAATTGACTTAGTCGCAAAACATTCTGGCCCTGAATGATGTTGGGCATAATTAGAAACTGTAGGGCGGACATACCAGTTGGAAGACTGTACAGCACTTTGTGTTTGAGGGAGCAAACTCAGAAAATTAACAATTAAACTGGCAGCAGTTAGAGTTCAACTTGTTTACAAGACATTTGGAACGGGGGGGAGAAGGGCGGGAGGAATAGAAAGGAGGAGGGAAAGGGGGGCGAGGGCAATTTGTGTAAGGGGAAAACAGGCTGAAAGTCCAGTTAGGGGAAAGTTCACTCCTGTTTGGTTGGGAGCAGAGGTAGAAGAGAGAAAGGAGCGGAGCTGCCGTGGTCATTCTGGCAGCACAGGAGCGGCAGTGCCATTCAGAGCTGCATGTGCTGCTTGTGCCTTTAGAGGGAAGAAGGGAGCGCCTTGGCACTGTAGGAGAAGGAGTTAGAGGATGAAGGAGATGAGTAAGACGTATGCAATTGTGGAAGTTATTGAAGGAGAACAGATTCAACTGGTAAGACAATGAAGCACTCTTGTTTATAATTCTTTGAGTTTTGGTTGGGAGTTGTTGGATTCCTTTCTTTGTCTGAATGAGTTATTTGAACCACAGTGACTCTTAAGTCCCAGCCTTGAGTGCCTGATTATCAAAAAGAGGAATAGCAGGGGTGGTGGCGTGGTTTTGTGTGTGTGTGTGTGTGTGTGTGCGTGCGTGCGTGTTTGTTAGCATGTGATGGCTGTTTTCTGCTGGACATGAATCAAAACTGTTGCACATTTAAGCTAATTTAAGATTACTCCTGCAGGGTGCACTCAAACATAAAGGTTGGCGGGACTTAGCTTCTGCATTCTCAGACATATTGTGTAGTTGTCCAACATTTTCCCTGCTCCTGCAGCAGGTAGACAGGGAAACCTACAAAGTCTCCTGTTGCTTTATCTGATACTCATGTCAAACACTGATACAAGCAGCCAAGACTGTCTTTTTCCTTCTCTTCTGTGAAACAGTTAAGCTTTTAGTAATTAATTCTGTACACATACATCTGACCATCTGCGTGCAGTGTCTGAGTTAACTGTGAGAATCCTGCATGATGTGTTTAATTGCTTAAGTCACTATTACACTGATAAGGTGAACCGTGCTGATCAGGTTTAGATTGATTAAGTGAGAAGCCAGCACAATAAACTACCACAGGCAGAAACTCAGTGAAAATCAAAATGTTAAAAAAATAAAAATAAAAAAATCCAGCTTTACGCCCAGCTGTCAGAACAGTGTGCGTGGAAGTCACCTGCTAATCCTGGTGGGGATTAAAGCAGCAAACTCCATGGAATTCTTGGAATCTCAAAGTTTAGCAAAAGTCTGGAACACCCCTGAATGCCAGGCTCAAGTGAACAGTTTGACTTGTGCGTTGCTCCACTGAGCCATACTGAGTTCAAGTAGAATTTAGTCTTCAAATTGAATTAAATGGGCCTTTACTGGAGTGGAGAATGAAGGTGGTGTTTCCAGTCAGAATGTGGTCGCTGCAGAGGGACGAGGCAGGGAATTTGGGCTTATTGGAGTTGTGTGTTTTTGATTCAATAACTCAATCTGCCCAGATTTGTAATCGTGACAAGGTTTCAAATGGGCTTCTGTCTTCTTCTTAATATGATGTAGAAATTTTTTAAAAAATGTTACCTCTAGAAAACAGTTAATGCTTGAGATCCTACAAATTAAAAGTCTTTGGTATTTAACAGTGTGGGTAAACTTCAGTTCGGTCGATAATGTTATCATTTAAGTTAAAGTTTTACATTTCATATATTCTTTAGATCTTTTGTAAGAATTGTAACAAAAAAATCTAACTTAAATACATAGGTTTGCGTTTATATTAGTGAGTGAATATGTTTGATCTCACAGCTCAAACAGTAGCCAGCAGATTAAGCTATCTCATCCTTTGAGTTCTTTATCTTTCAGGCCTCATTAGCAGCGTCATATTTGCCCTTGCTTCAGGGAGTACGACACGGTTGCTTACAAGGCATAAAAAGTTCATCACGCTAACTAGATTGTACAATTAAAAGGAAATCACGTCTTTTTAGAAGTCCATAGCAAACCAAATCACCATTGTTATACAATGTCTAAAGTGCAATAGTGTGGAGACCACTGCATGAGTGTGAGTTCAGGAGCTGGTGAAAGCAGAGGAGAGAAATGAGCCATAAAGACAGATAAGATAGATGAGGTGATAGTCAATCATTTCTGTACTTGGCAGGCTGTTCTCAGGTGTGATATTACTGCATTATCTGCTGCTATCTGCTCTTTACATCACAATAAACATGAACACTAACTTTATAAAGGTACTTACTGAGATGTTAGAAAGTCAGGTTTACTTAGTTTTCATTTTGATTAGTTTTTTTTTAATTCGGAAAATTGAAACCTTTGCTCATCTCCTATTTTTACTTTGCAAAGTATTTGTAAGATACTATGCATTTTCTAAATGCATGTGTGTGTGTGTCGTGTGTTTCCTTTGCAGCTCCCTCTTTCTAGCAGTCACCTAGATGTGTATGCAGGTCCTGGCATGAAGGGTCCAGCCATTGCTATGACCAGCAACTCCTGTCCTGCCAATCTGACCATCAAGCGAGAACTCTCAGGTGCGAAAGATGTTACAAAGTGATGCAGATTCTGTTGATCAGTGGAAACGTAGCGTGCGTTTATTGGCACTCTTGATAAGCTGTCTTTTTTGAGACGTGGCGCTTTCTCAGCCATTAGTTAATCACTTTTTGTTATTGCAAAGACGCAGAAGCCCGTGCGCTGGCCAAGGAGAGACAGAAAAAAGACAACCACAATCTGAGTAAGTCTTTCCCTCAGAATGCTATTTCCCTAAATCCTTTTTCCCTTTTTATTTTCTCACACTGATAATGTGCAGGCCTTCTGAAGAATTTGCACGTACCACATACATGCACACAAAGCATAATCTTTCCGATGCAGAAACAGTGTTATACGGCCCATGTGCTGATTTAGCTGACATAGTCCAACTACTGGGTGGATGGTTAACCTGGTAATTTCTGCTGTCCTTGCACTTAGGTGTAATTGCCTGTGACTGCGTGTGTGTGTGTGTGTGTGTGTGTGTGTGTGTGTGTGCTTAAATGTTTGCTTCTCTTTACACTTTTTGTATATTTCCAGTATCTGATCTATGCTATACATACTTAAAGAGTAGCATCTGTACAATTTCCCGTTCCTTATTTTAATGCCTTTGATTCACCTGCACAGTGATATTATCTTCAGTGTGTTTTTTCCTTTGTGCTAATTTCCATTGGTCTTATCATTCTTCTGCAATAGTTGAAAGGAGGAGGAGATTCAACATTAATGATCGCATTAAAGAGCTGGGCACCATGATCCCCAAAACCAATGACCTGTGAGTTTCTCTTAGTGCACCATGTTTTTAAAGTAAATACAGATGTTGAGTAGTTACTGACATGAACTTGCATGTGAAAATTGCCTGTCTGCTCCCCTGTTTGCTTAGTGATGTGCGCTGGAACAAAGGCACTATATTGCGGGCATCTGTAGAGTACATCAAACGTATGCAAAAGGATGCACAGAGGACAAGAGAAGTAGAGAACAACTTCAAAAGGATGGAGATGGCCAACAAGCAGCTGTTGCTGCGCATCCAGGTAACACATTTGTACAGCACATGTCCAGAACCATAGAAAATGAATAATAATATTAATAGTAATAAAATTGCTGTTGTTCTTTCCCAACTGTCTAAAGGAGTTGGAGATGCAGGCTCGTCTGCATGGCCTGCCCAGCAACTCTCCCTCTGGCCTGAACACGGGTGACATTATGGGTTCTTATATAAAACAAGAGACCAGCCTAGAGGAGAACCATTCTCACCCCCAGGCACAAGCACACCACCAGCCCCAGCATCTACCCCATAACCAGGCTCATCCCCAGGCCCAGCAGCACCAGTTCCTCTCCCACACACACTTCCACCCTCAGGGCCAGGCCCAGCCCGAACCCAGGCAGCTGCCACCACTCCCACAGCATCTCCAGCCTCAGCCTCCCATTCAGTACCCAGCTGTGGGCAGCTCCCAGCACTTTGACTTTGCCCAGTCGCTGGACTTGTGCGATGGGATATCAGGGTTTTCAGATGGCATGTCTGGGCTGGGTGACCTGGGTGGACTTGACGTCCAGGCGAGGAGAGGCGACCTAGGTTTCCTTATGATGGACGAGCCTTTGTCCCCTATGGGTGGAGACCCGCTGCTCTCAGCGATGTCCCCTGAAGCGTCTGTCGACTCCAGCCGCAGATCTAGCTTCAGCATAGAGGATGGAGACATAATGTAGACAAGCATGCATTCGCTCAGTCAAACACACGAGGTTTCGCATAGATTGTAGTAAACATAAATATCACGTTTGCAAAACACAAAATGCGTACATTACATACACAGAAATGAATCAGCCCCCAGACATGACACCATTTATATCACACAGTTTCAGGAAACACCAGTGACACTCCTTTGTGGTACATTTAACTTCCCCTCGGTGTCATTAGAGACAGTACACATTCATCACAAACATTCACGAGCGTATAAACAGACACGCACACATACACCTACACACATAAGTGCATGTGAGTTTAACTGAGCAGCTTAAAACTTTGCCCAACACACTGAGCATTTACAAGGTGTGAACCAGCACTGCCAGGTCAGGAGTTATATGGCACAATTGGCCTTGTTTCCATAAAGGTGGCCCTGAATCATAATTGCACAAGGGACAAAACACCCAGTTAATTAGACTGCCATTATCAGATACAAGAACAAACCAAGTGCATCATCACACACGAAGAGGACAAGTTATTTGCCCCTAACATCAGCTCCTTTTAGTAATCATAAACGATTGAATGAACAATAGAGAACAAAATGGAAATGGCTTTATGGCCCTGCATGCATAATTTATCTTGAGGGGATGCAGTGCAGTCACATTGTTCCCTTCCTCAGGCTGTTAGTTGGCCTCAGGTTTTAGCCGTTTGGTGTTGGACAAAACTTTGTGTTAGCCTGCTCAAGTGTCTATATGTATCCATATCTTGGGGAATATTGCCAAAAAAAACCCTGAAGTTTGCTGCAAAAGGTGGATAATTCAGCTTTTAGCAAAGGCCTTTATATTTACTTGTTGAGCTGAAATTGTCGTCTTCTGAAAGAAATGCATGCACAGGCAGTCACGTAGCATTGCCCACCTTTATTTTTTAGCACCTCCAGCACTGTTGCAATCTTTACTCAACACTGTAAAGTCTGTTGACTTTGGAGTGGGGGTAGAGAAAATGCACTGGATGGCCATCAAAAATCTGAGGGCCATCCATTTCTGTGAGGTGTCAAAACACTCAGGTACTGTAACAGAATACACAAGCAGGCTTTTAAATAGAAGTGGATGTTAACCTGAAATATGTCAGGGCTGTAACCCCTGTCTGTTTGTGCCTTTTTACTTTTGCTGCTCCTCTTCAAAGGCACGTGTTTATGGGTCGGAGGTCTTCAGCTTTGACTCTGTATCACATTCATCTATACCTGTAAATGCTTTAGAAGTTGCTTCTGCATCAGTGTGACCTTGTAAGCACAGGAGATACAGTGATTTCCTCCCACTAAGTGACCTTTTAAGGTTTATATATAGGGCGAGGTGAAAGAAAGAATTGACATGTTTAAATAGTTTAATAGTTTCAGACACAGGATATGCAAAATTGCTGGCTTCGTCTGTCTGTTGGTGTCGCCATTCCGGTCATTCAGGCATTGGTAATTTATTCATGTTCCACGCTGTTTCATCCAAGCGTCACCCAAAGCAAACCTGTGTATTCATTCAGACATGAAGCCAAAATGTTAAGGACCTGTCAAATTAATGGAACAGAGTGCATGTCTGAAGGAACTAGAAGTGTTAGTTCTGTCTGTCAGCAGCCGTAGGCTTGTCTTTATGACATTAGAACACACTTGCATGTATTTGTGGTCACACTCACTTCACAGACATGCACACTTTCACCACAAACGATCACTTAGGTATTACAGTACTCACAGGCAGGTGTGTCCATTTTTTTTGTTTCATTTTGTTTTTTTGGACACTGATGTGATTTTTATTATTTTTAGCTGTGTACCAAAACATATTCAAGTTACAGTTACAAGGGGTTAAGGTGCAGATTGTCAACTTTATTTTGAGGGGTTGAACAAAAATATTGCATTTACCTTCAAGAAATTACTGCCTTTTTTTATACACTGACCCCTATTTTCAGGGAGGCAAATTGATGTAACTGTAAATTCAGTTCTTTAATATCTTGTTGAGGTTCCTTTGCAGGCAATGACTGCCTTAAGTCTTGAACTCATGGACTAAAGCAGGGATTCTTCCTGTATTTTCTTTCAAAACTGTTCATCATCTGCTTTTTTTTGCCAAACTTCTCCGGTACATTCTTCTCTTCTTTTTTTTTTTTTATCAGAATGTACCGAGCTTCCACTGCCTCTCTCAAGGTTTGTTTTGTTTTTGTACCCTAAGGCCGATCCGTTTGACTTTTTGAGCAACAAATTCCAAATGCAAATGCCACAGTTGAAATCATCTCCAAGACTTTTTATCTGCTTATACAGTGAAGAAATGACTGTGTGAAATGGCTGTAATTCCTCACCGGCTGATGCAATATTTCTGTTTAGAGTCTGCACTGTAATAGCGTCTTTTCTTCGAATCATTTGTTGTGACTCGCAGAGGCAAGATTGTGAAAAATGTGCCACTGTCCACATATGCCTGGAGGTAACTGTAAATGAACACAAAGTGGAGTGAGGCTGTTTTTCAGAAGAGCCCACTGCTTCACTCTCTTGCCTCGAGATTCACATGAAGCTGCCAGCTGCAGAGGTAAAGCTCAGGTCTGCTGTTCAAACTGTCACCCAATGGTGATTCATTGCTCCAGCTGTTAAAGTGACGACTGGAGCAGGTTGTGCTCAACCTGTGTCGTATCTCTGCTGTGGTAGACCTGGAGCTTACCTTTGATTGATATAGTTTATGATCAGAACAGAAATCTATTTAGTGAACATACTTTCAAGGGGATTTGTTTTTGATTAAAAGAAGTGTCTGTTTTCTTTATTATTTAGTTTGTTTATTGTATTTCCCAAAGCACTGAAAGAAATGACATTATTGTTTTTACTTTGTACATGGAAGAAATATGGAATAAGATTTACTTCAGATGTTTTATGCCATTTAAATGTATTTTATTTGTATTTGATATTTTAGTTCTATTTCAATTTTATTCCGAAACAACCCTTTCTTCTCAGAGCCATATTCAGGAGGTGTACTGTACAGGCATTTAAACAATGTTTTAACTGGAGTTGGGGAACCATTTATAAACTTCAAGATTTCAGCTGATTTTAAAAGAGATTGTGTATATTTTTGATGTATGATTGGGATTTTATTTATCTCTCTTTTCACTTTGAAATTTGGATCCAGACATAGATGAAGAGTGATTTTTTTTTTTTTAATTTTTTTTTTTTTTATCATTGGACTGAAATTAAGTTGCTCATTTGATGAATGTAAAGGCTTACCAGTAGTTCTTGTCAGACTGAAGAACATTGTTTTTATAGTTTTTTGCCCTACCTGCCTCCTGATTTTCTGTCTTTGGTTTCCATGGAGACTGGAAGCTGATTGACTTCAGTTAAACTAGGCCAGGGATTTGTGACTCTCCTGACGTTGTACCACTTTTTGTCATCATCCGGGGACGAGCCTTTTCCCGTCAGCTACAGTTTGACTGTTGTTGTTCAGTCATCCAACTAGAGCTTCTCAGGCTCCCTTTATTTTTCCACTAGAGGGCGCTCTGCAGAACAAAGGGGGAAGGTGGTTGTGAATTTAATGACGTTATAAAAAATATTTTAGAACCCATACACTGGCTGAAAGTTTTATTTTCCTTTTGTTTTTTCTGACATGAGAAATGTGTGTGAGTGTTACTCACAAAAAAATATTTCTACGCAGCCCTTATTTTAGATAAAAATTAAAATACCCCTTCATTCCAAAACAGACACCACAGGTTTTGCCTTCACTGTGACGAATGAAAGTGTCTCTAAATTTGATGCTTGCGTGTGCCATTAGAAATATTCTATGTGCAACTTTTGAGTAAGGTGGAAACTTGAAGCATGCAATGCAAATCCACTGATAATGGACTTCAGCCTTTAGCAAAGTCAGTAGCATATAGTATTTAGCAGTTATTTTGAAATGAATATATGGCGTATTCACACATTGTGGATTTGTCAGTGGGCAAGAGGAGAGATTTTGTTTGTATACTCTGTCACTGGGTTATTTATTAAAAAATAATCATTCAAAGCAGTATTTTTATATCATCTTACAAAAAATATTTTAAATTGACATGGTAAATGGGGGAAGAAATATGTGTACACTTTGTATCCCTGCTGAATTTTGGCCAAAAAACAAAGACACAGCTGACTGAGAAAAAATGGATATTTGTTGGTACAGTGTCATTGAAGCATGGTTATGTAACCTACTGACCAATACCAATGTAAGACAATGACTACAAGTGAATTATAGTTTTATGTGCATAAATTCAACTGTCTGTGCCTCGTTTTTATTTGTGTGTGTGACTATCGGAGGCTGATTAGAGAAGCAAATTTCATCATGTGTCCACCAGGGAGCACCAGAGATCTACAGTACCACCCCCACCCCCCACCCCCAAAACCACAATCCAGGAGTCTCCTTCAACTCTGCTCTCCTGTAACACTGTCACAGCGGTCACAGAAAGGACTGGGCTACCGTGCAATTAACCTTTTTAAATGCTACTTGAATAACTAATCAAAAATGTTGCTTCTTCACAAATACCAAGCAGCATTATTTTTCTCTTGTCAAAAGAACAGCAGCAACTGTTAAGGATACTGATTGGATATTTTGGCCCCTTTAAAGGGAAATTCAAAATGTTTATTAAATGAAAGAACTGCATTGCAACTATCCCAGCAAACATCTTTAGTAAGAAAGTTTAAAGGGTCTGATAATTACATTCATTGTTGTCTCTTACCTGCCTCTTTAAAAAATAATTCTCCTTTTCTACTGCTCATTCCGTCATCTCCTGATGTATTAGTTCAGAGCTGCTTCAGGATGATCCATAAACCGTTTAACAGCCTTTTCTTAAGTTAATTCAGAGTAATCTTATCCCTAACCCACACACACACATATACACACACGCACGCACACACACCCGCTTTATGCTGCAGAGCATGTTAAAGTGTGGCGATAGTGTCTGCAGCCCATCCACAGGCCCATTCTCCTGGGTCTTTATGATGCTAATGTACTTCCCGGTCTAATAAATCCCTGTAGAGCTGCAAAGAGTAGATCTTATGGCTCACTCAGATCACCACCTTTTCGCCCGTCTCCCCCACAACACACATACACGCACTGCTATTACTGCTGCAGAAACGCCTGCCTTGCACTTCCACTGATACTTGGGTGGCTGTTTAGCGAGTGGGAGCGAGGGAAAGGGTCGAGACAAATCAAACACGAAGGTGCAATTTAAGAGATGCTGGCACGGAAATGCAGAGTCTGGCCCTGGCATAGTGTGCTCGTGGGTGGGCAAACGAAAGGAGGCACTTTGAGAAAATACTCATGACTTCTTTTACTGATGGATTGACCATCTTGAATGGGTTAAGGCATTGCACCTAAGGGATCACTTTATCCTCCTTGAAGAAGAAGAAAAAACAGCATGTTCAACAAGCAGGGGACAAAGAGCTCCACCCAGAGCTCAGGGTAGAAACCTCTGTTGGACTGGGACAGAATGAAGCATCATTCTCTCCTCCAAACAATCCTCTCATTTATTCTCCCTCGTCCTCACCCCAACTTCTGCCCCTACATGCAGCCCCCTCCCTCCATAGTCTTCTTCATCTTCTAGCTGCTGACTTGGTGTGTGTGTGTGTGTGTGTGTGTGTGTTAGTCCCACCTACATCCCTGGGGAGCAGTGTGTCACTCAGCTTGAAGCCCGCGGAAGAGGGGTGAAAGGGGGCTGATTGAGCTAATTTAGCCCCTGGATGAGAGAGCAGAAAAGGCCTCACCCTCTGCTAATAGACAGACATCAAAATGGAGATGAGGGGGAGGGGTGGTGGGAAAAGGGAGTGGGGGGAGAGTGGAGGGAGGGGGGACGATAAAACTGAGGCGACTTTTTGATGGATTTATCTCTTTTTGTCCGAGGTGATGTGGAGGGGGAAAAAAAAACTTTTATGAACACCGAGTGACATTGCGAAGTTGGTAAAGGTTTATGTGTGTTGCCTGGAATTAAAACCTGCTGATATTACTTATTGATCCATCCTCCTCCATTAAGATACCCTCAATCACAGCCTTCTTTATGATCTCTCCTGCCCGGGCCACTCACCGCACATTCTCCTTTTGACAGGCAGGCTGCAACTCACCCCAAAACTACTGGCTTTTACTGCTATGGATGGAAATTGGAGACACTTTTTATAGCCCTTGTAGGCATGAATAGTCCTGTAGGCTCTGATGGCCCACTATCAAAAAGCCTCTAATGAAGATGGCACAATGACACAACATTGATTCCCCCCCTTCCTTTAGATTCATAATTCATCAGCACCGAAGTTTGCCCTAAAGTTTTGGGGCATCTCTGAAGTGCTGATGTCCACGTATTTCTCCCCACCCACCTCTAAAAAAAGTTCTTCCCCTCTGTAAGGAAAGACCCAAGCTCCTTCAAACCATTAAACAGGCTAAAACCAACGCTCCTTCCTCGCACACTGTCTCTAACTAACTAGGTCTCAACACTATCGTCACGCACCTCCCTGTCCTTCTTCATTCCCTCTTCTCCTGCCCCTCTTTATTCTGCCGCTTCTTTGTCCATCTTCCTCTACATATTTAATACTCTCCACTGAGTCCTCTCAACCCCTCGTGCCTCTATTCCTGAAAGAAAAAGGGGCTCAAATTGGCTGGAGAGATGAATAATGTCCCCGCCATTAACAGTGGCGCGGACGGATCAGTCTTTTCATGTGTGCAGAGGTGACGAGATCAGCTGCGGGAGAGTTGAGGGCCGGTTGCAGCGGCACTCTTTTCATTCTCGAACTTTTGCTCAGACTGCGGCAGAGGCAGAGAAGAAATGAGTAAGATGAAGCTTTGCAAAGACGCAAAGAGTAAGGGTTCGTGAGCTGAGATTGCAGCAATTTCAAATTCCTGCTTAAATTTAAAAAAAAAAAAGAGTTTGAAAGAACTGTCAGCTGAGGCTTAGACTTTTAGATATTTTGAAACAGGTGTATATATATTTTGTGAAAGCTGTTATTCAGTTTTTGTGTTTGCCTAACATCATAAGTAGCATTGCGCTTTCTTATTTATTCTATCATCACAATCAAGTCTTAAAGTAGCCTAATTTCTCCTCATATGCTGCAAATGGTTACTTTTTCTTCTGCATGGCCAGTAGGGGGAGTTAGTGGTCCACACCTCGGTTGAGCCCAGTGAAAATGGAAGTCAAACAGGGCCTGACAGTTCTCAGCGCTGAGAATTAATATGTTGTTTTGAATCGCTTGAATGTCATTCGCTGACAGAAAGAACATCTGGTGCAACCTTTGTCAAATTAAGACATGGTGTCCCTCTCTAAATTCCTCCAGAAGGCTTCTCGGGAACATAATAGGCAAACTGTTGTTCGGCTCCTAGTGAGAGATCAGAGCTGGAACACAAATATTTTAACATCTTTTTTTTCCCTCTTTTTTTTTTTTTTTGATTGAAGAGGCGCTAAAGTAAGCTTATCATTATTAAGACAAATAATGTGCCTGACACCGATTTGACACATTTTGAAGGTTAACTGCTCCATCCCTTTCTCCTGCGGTTGATGGTGTGCCCGTGAAAGTGGTGACTCTGTCATATCTATTGGAAGTTTTGTCAGACTCTATCATGCACAGTATCCGTGACCTTGACTACCAAATCATCACTCTAAGAAAAACATTTTTTTTAAAAACCCAAATTGAAAAACATGAAGATTACAAAATAGCTAATGGTCTGGCACACAGGTGCTATTCTTTGCTAAGCTCCTGAGATCTATTTGTTCTTTTGCTGTGTTTGTTTTTCTATCTGCCAACCCGTCCAGCCATCCACTCATCCATTCATCCGTCCATCTTGCAAATCCTCGTCTGTTTCGTTCTGTGTTGTTGTTGAGCGAGAGGCTGTTTCCATGAACTTACAATCTGAAGGTTGCAAAGATTTGACTCCTTTTTTTTCATACCTCCCTGAAAAGCAGCGTAGATTATACAGCCTACAGCTTTTATCACATGTATGCCCTTCTTCAAGCTTCTTTTTTATTCTCGTCCTCTCGTCTCCCGCCTTTCAGAGACCTGAAGATAACGGCGCGGCACATGACGCCATTGTCCTCCCTCTCTCGTTCGTAGGTGGAGATTTAAAGTTCTGCTTTAAAACTGCCACTTCTCCAATCCTACTTAACCCCCCCTCGTCTTCCTCCTCTTGTCTCCCCCCTTCCTCCTGAGTATACTACCTAACCCTTCTGAACTTCAGTCGGAGTTACTGAAGACCCGGAGTACACTGGGGAGTCAGCTACACCACTGAGAGAGAGACAGAGATAGACAGAGACTTAGCTGCCTGCTATTCTACCACTCTCTCCGGTAATAAGAAAAGTTTCTGTTCTTTTCTGTGTTACAGCAGGGAGATAAAACTAGGGATCACTCACACTCACATGCACTTTTTTTTTTTGCACAGACACGCACATAAAACACAAATCTGTGAAGATACGCGCACACTCGCACACAAAAAGAGGCACGTTATGGACAAAGGTGCTCTCTCACGCACACCCTGTAGTATGAGGCTTTTTGCTGAAACTCCTGCAGACAGAGAGAATCCCCCCTCCAAAAAAAAAAAAAAAAAAAAAATAGATGGGAGTAGAGGAAAAAGAAACAAGTTTAGTCTGTAAACGACTCAAAAAAACCCTGATTCAAATTAGAGGGCGATTTCCACAAAGGTCAATGTATTCAGCTGATATCCTGAGAGGGAGGAAATTTAATACCCCTTTTTGGTTGAATTAATTAATTATAATATTAGGCTAGCTCTGGGGGCCCTTTTCTTCAGTGATTAAGTGAGCACATATCTTTAAAAGACTGTGTCGGTCTCTGGGGCCCTGGGCTTCTGAACCTTGGGGTGAAACAGAGAGAGATGTATTATACATGAGAGGACCGAGAAACACAGACCAGTCCACTCGCCTCCGCAGCAAGACACACCTTGTTCCTTCTTTAGACCTTCAGGAGCACTTGGCTTTCTTTGCAGAGTCGCTTTCTGCCGCCCCTCTGCCCTCCTCTGGTCATCTGAACGTTCAGCTCAGCGTGGCTTAAGCTTCACAGATTAGCACTCCGCTTTACTTGCCGTGCATTGTGACGTGCGTTCCTATTTTAAAAAAGCAAAGAGAGCAACAAATCCTAGGATCAAAATCAGCAACAAAATATATTCAACCATCAGAAGTGAACGGAGTCATTATGCAGAGTGGTCCCCTTTAGAGAGCTAAATTATTGATGTATGAAACCTGCAAGAAGCATTTTGAGGTTACAGGTCACCAAGGTGGTGCT